CCCCCCCTCTCCCTGCCTCAATGTCCCCACCGCAATTTGGGAGTTTTTCAGGACGAAAAACCCCCGTCCCTGGGCGGGAGCTCGCTTCATCCCGGCCTCCACACCCTCCCGGCTTCTTTTTGCCGAAAAACCCACAAAACCCACAAAAATAATAAAAGATAGATAGATAGATAGATAGATAGATAGATAGATAGATAGATAGATAGATAGATAGATGGGTAGGTAGGTAGGTAGGTAGGTAGGTAGGTAGGTAGGTAGGTAGGTAGATACAACATGTCTGCTCGCCCTGTCCGCCCCGCGCTGCTCCCTTCGTGCAGGCCGGGGTGCCCCCCCCCGGTGCCCCGCACTCACCGCGGCGCCGGAGCGGGACGGGGCGGCCCGGGATGGGGCGGTCCGGGAAGGGGACGGGACGGGAAGGGGACGGGACGGACAGGACGGGACGGGACGGGACGGGAGGGGCCGGCGCTCGGGAACGGGACGGCGCGGCCCGGGACAGGGCGGCCGCTCCCGCCTCACGCGGCGCCGCCCGCTGGGAGCCGATGCCCACAGCAGCAGGCTCCTGAAATCCCACAGGATTCCTGCCGCGCGGCCGCTTCCAGCTCGGGGCCGGGCAGCCGGTCTCCCCCGTGCGAGGCGGGGCAGCGCGGAGCGTTTCAGGAAGCGTTTCAGGATCCCTGCGGGCCGCAGCGGCGGGAAGAGGAGCGGGAAAGGCGCTGGGAGCAACGACAAGGCTGCTCGGCTCCCTTGGGATTTTTCCGGGAGGCTGCTTGCACCGAGATGCGCGCATATTGTGGGGGGTAAACCGGAGTTCGGGCCTCCTACATCCTCTCCCAGCAGCTCTTCTTATTCCTCCCTAAGCTCGCTCCAGGGGTTGCCAGTGTTGGGAAGTGCTGGAAGTCCGGCAGGAGCCTCCAGGTCTGCAGGAGAGCACGAAACAAGGAGGTCAAGCCTGCTCAGCACAGCCAGGGGAACGTGCAAGAAAACCTGAAAACCAAAGAAACAACCAAACTAACCCCAAGAGAGAACAGATTGCAGACCCTGTTCCTCCTCTGCCCCCCCAAAAAAAGTCCTGAGAATTATCTAATTATCTGAGTGCTTCAATATCTGCCATCTGGAGCTCCCCATGTTCACCCATGAGGGTTTCCAGACATGGAAAGGATCAATAAACTACGCTCTGAATGAGACCCTTTGCTCAGTGTTTCAGGCCTCGTTTGCCTTTTGGACTAAACGCTTGGAAACATGGAGACGTTTTAAAAAAGAAAATGCCTCTGCTTTCTTTATTATTAACCATTTAAATGAAGACAACCCCCCCCCCAGCATTTCGGACAGGTGGGGCTTGCAATCATTAACAGGAGCAGCAGGAAATAAAAGACAAATATTTCATCTTGCTTGAGAGTTTCAGATGTACTTTGCACCCCAGGAAGCCTTTGAAATCCTTAATAATAGTGTAGACCAAAGGTTTGAATTGTGCAGATTCTAGTCCGCAGACAGGGAGAAACACAAATTCCTAGCGGGATGGCCTTTTCCGTGTAAAAAGCTCTATAAGCAGAAGGATATGAAGCACAGATCCTGTGCAGCGCTGCCCGAGGACTGCAGAAAGACAGTTTCTGCAAAAAGAAATCAGTAAATCAACCCAGGCATACAAAGTGAGGAAATCAGCAGTGCTGGTGTGTGTTCAAACTGCACGTCACATCTCCTGGCGTGGGGCAGCTGGGCACCAAAGGAAGGGCAGCTACGTGAGGGTGAACGGGCAAGCAGATGCACAAGGGCTCTATGCAGAATTCATTTTCTTTGCCTTGGTAGCAGCTTCGATTTCTTCCAGGATGGGCACCGGGCCGGCGTAGTTGTTGGTTTCTATAGCTTCTAGTTTCTTCTGATACTCGGCGGGCAAGCCGTTCTGTCTGGCCCCCATGCAGATAACCTGCAGGCAAAAGGAGAGCGGGAAGAGAGAAAAACCTCAACAACGACGTTAGGAAGGCGAGATCCCTACAGGAAGAACCACTTGTGGTAACAAGAGAATTAATCCCAAATAATGTTGTTTGTGCCCAAGGAGAGCTAAAGGCTTCTGGATGACTATTGAAGACTATCAAGACCTCAATGTGAAGAAGTTCATACCAGGTGCTACCAAGGCAGACCCTTTAGCATCCTGAAAAGCTATTCACATGCACCAGACCACATGATTAAGCTCCTGTCCAGTCATTTCAGTCCTTCCTTTAGGGAAGAAGAGGACTTCTGTGTCTTCAGTCAGCCTTAGTATCAGATCTGAGTGAAAAGCAGCATTTATTACTGAAATTCTTTTTCAAAATAAACCATTTGAACCCGAAGCACAGCACTGAGTACCTAGAATTACTGAATAAAAAAATACAGTAATGGACACAGCTGAGTAAAAATACCTAGCTTAAAGTTTGTTACTGCAGCTTTTCTTCTACCCACAAAGTAAACTGAAGCTTTAGTGCAGAAGGAACTAAATGGCAAAGCAAGAGGAAAAAAGTCTGGAGAGAAACCTGAGACTTCGGGTCCTTGAGACTCCAAAGCAGGAGCCCCAGGGCCACCAAAGCTGCCCTCGGTCCTTTTACTGAAGCACCTTTAAGTCCAAAATAAAGGACTTCTTTAGGTCATCTTTAAGACCAAAACAGAGAATTGTTGCTTCTGTGGGAACATCTGGCATCCCTCGGAAAGCCCAGGGTGTCGGCTATAACTGACAGAGACCTTCTGTGATTGACCCCCATGTATTAGAGCAGCACCAAAGCAAAAACCAACAGGGATTTAGTAGGTCTTTAAGCAGGCAGGAATCTCCTACAAGCAGCACTGCGCCAGGGCACGGCACTAGGCTCAACTTATCCCTTACATTCCTTATATTCCTCACCCCTTCTATGCCGTTCAATAAGTACTTTATTTACAGGGAATAGGAGCACTGCACTCTGCATTTCTGACCCCAATTGCAGCACCTACCTTTTTGTACTGGGGAGAAGGGAGACCACAAACACAGTCACGCATCTGGTAGCTTCGGCAGGTCAGTACCTCTCCTGCTTGAGTGTGGACGTTAACTTCTATTGGGACATAAATGCCTTCTTCAACTCCCTCCTGCCTGTAAAGGACATTCGTGTCATGCCAAACCACCCTTGCACAGGTGACAACTGCAGCGTGTCTTTCAAGCAAAGTGTTGCAATTACACATAAGCATTTAGAATAACAGAGCTTAAGGCAGAACTCTGGGTTGCACCATTGACCAAATTAAAACAACCAAAAAAAAAAAACTGTATTTTTTGTCAGAACTTGCTTCAGATCCAAAAAATAAGTTTCCTTCTGAAGAATGGGCAGCACTCACTTTATCACATTAGTAATGTAAGGAGTCTAGTGGTTAACTTGCAATATTAGAGAGAAGGTTGCTTGTGAATTAGTTGATGACTGTGCAAGTTTTATAATCTACAGTAGAAGCACAAGCAAGATAATCAGAATTAATAAGGCAGACACATATCACTCGTGACCTTCCGCTCAGATAACAAAACAATTGCAAAGTTTTATCTTGCCTATTGTGTTACATTTGAGTAAGAGGAAACTTGCCTAACCCTGGCAGAGAATGATCCAGGCCAGCCTTTAATTTGCACAAGACTTGTAGAGCTTGTACAGCAGCAGCAAGTGAGATCAGGGCAAAAAAAAAAATATATATATATGTATATATATGTGTATATATATATAATATTGTTCTTTTAGCAGCAAAATCATGCTGCCTCTGGAACAAGAAAAGTCTGCCTTCTGCCTTTAACCATTATCACTTAATCAAGCGATAAAAGTCTTAGGAAATAGTAAGATATAAAATAAAAAACTAATGCTACTTAAAATCTGCTACAGGTAAGAGTGATGATGGGGGTTCTGATAGTGCTTGTCCAAATGATATCCAGGTGTTGGACACATCATCTCTCTTTTAAAGACTTAATACTGTTTTGCAAGTTACTTAACATACATAACTCAGGCCACGCTGTGTAAGCAACGAGGTGCAGACAGAGATTGAAAGATAGGTGCAGTCAAAGCCAACATAAACAACACAAAATAGAGAGTCGCACAGTGGGGTGAGGGCAAGACAAAACATACAACTATGAAAAAGAGCACTGAAACCCACCCAGGGACAAAATTAATCATCCAACCTAAAAATTCCTCTTGCGTATTTGCATTCTAAATATTATTTTGCTTCACTAGTGTTTGAATTACATGCAGCATTAATTATAAACTTCCTCTTCTGTTTCTGATTAACAGAAACTTCTGATTAACACCAACTTCTGTATCCAGAGAGAGAAAATGGGTGACATTTTTCTTTTTTGACACATGGAAATGCCAGAAAAAAAATTACCTGAGAACTTCCAAATAAACCCATTTGTGTGCAACCAAAGAATCCCAACATCTTCGGCAGCGATACATGTATGCTCACTGGAATTACTAAGAAGCAATGCTGAAGAACTCTATTATCTATCCTTAAAAACAACAACAAAAAAACACTGTAAAAGATTGATTTATCACTAAGGGTTTTAGAGCAAAGATATAGAGATAAGGAAACCACTTCTTTATATATTTACAGGAAGAGTTTCCTCTTTGTTTCCTTCTCACTTCACAGATGTTTTTCTACAACAGTTCTGCCATGTGCTCAGTCATTTACGCAATATAAAAGATGGGGCAGAGAGGATACTGATATTTATTGTGCTGATTTTTTTTTTCTTTTTTTTGGGGGGGGGGCCGGTCTGTGGAATGCTTAAGTACATAGTTACCTCCATCAGGCTTAGCACGAATCACACTACACCAAGTCGTCTTGCTTTTGTAAGAATACATCCTAACGGAGGGGGGAAGAACCATCTCGATCTTCCTCCCATTGCTAGATCATGCCAGCAGCGCTGTCTGTGCTGACAGTGCAGAAAGGACAGGACCAGCCAAAGCTTTGGAGATGGAGGTACAAGAGCCTCACTCGGGCCACGCTCAAGTTAAAACCTCCTTGAACTTGCTCAGCGTGTTTTAAACTTGCCTTAGCTGCCAGCAAGGTGCTGCCAGCCCTTCCCATTGAAGAGGGCAATGCTCCCTGCCATAGCGCCCTGCTTGCATCTCCCTTAAGCCTAAAGATTAAAAGCCTTAAAAGGGAAGACAAGGAAAAGCAGCTTCCCCCAAAGGTCTCTTTGCTTGTGTTGAAGATCTGCTTCTCTCTGCAAAGTCAGGTCCTCCCCCCTTCCCCTTTCCACTGCCCTAGCAGTCCAGATGTACTGAGACAGAGACTGGTGTCAGTCTCACAGCAAACTCTCCCCAGAGCAGCGGAAAACAGCTCAGAGACCAGACACAGAGGATGGAGTCAGACACGGCAGGACATTGTGGGGAGGGTGTAAAAGTGTAACCTGAGCAACACAGCCCTGAATCTACTTTCATTCTACATGAAAAAAAACCCTTTATTTAGCATTTGTGGAAAACAAAGTCATTAAACCGCAAATGCTTTAGAAGTCAGCCCATGTATTGTGGGGTAAAATCCGAATATTAAAATAAAAGGCAACTTCTTGATCCCAAGCAAACCCTCCACATTGGCTTTTGCCCAGAACTGACTTTCGAATTGCTCTCTGGAGGAACACAAGACAGCAAAATGAAGTCACCTACTTATCCAGGGAACTTAAATTGCTAGCGTTCATTTTCCACACTATTCCCCATACTTCGTCTCCAGGGCTCTGGACCACGGTGGCTGCACCTCCATGCCAGAGGGGACTTATTCTGCCTTGGTGATGGCCAAAAGCGAGTTTATAATCCTGCAAATGAAACCAAAAGCGAGTTTATAATCCTGCAAATGAAACCAGTGCAGAGAATCAGTTTTCACTTAAGGTAAGGGCTGTCGACTCGTCTTAACGTGGAATCGGCAGCTCCAAAGCCATTTTACAAGAATCCATTTGGAGCCCCGGGAGGAGGAACAGTGGCAGGATCAGACCCAATTCCCACATAAGGGAAGGCTTAAAAAAATGAAAGTTGACATCAGTGTAGGGCTGATCTTCACAGTCCATCTGTGAGGGACATGAGAGTAAACAGCAACCTCCACAGATGCAGGTTACTCCATCAGCAGTCACCTTCCTTCCTCCCTTGGGAGAAGTCCCTCATTCAGGCAGTTTTTCTGGGAAAACAGAAGCTGTTTTAGACCCACTGGTCCCCAGCCGTTCTCTGCAGAGGCCCCTGCAGCGCCGGGGTCCCTGGATCGCCGCACAGGGCGCAGAACCCTGGACCGGCTCTGCGAGGAAACCGGGCAGGAAAGAAACGCAGGGAAACCAATAATCCCGCCGAGCAGACCGGGACAATCAGTAACCCCCAAGCTGCAGACCGGGACAAGTGTCTGCAGGGCTGCCCCGAGGAGAGGCTCCGTGGAACCCGGTGTGCTCACAGCGCTATCATAATGAGAATAATGAGAATAATGAGAATAATGAGAATAATGAGAATAATGAGAATAATGAGAATAATGAGAATAATTTCTGCGGTGACGGGGAAGAAAAGCACTAGCTGCCTGGATCAGGAGCTGGGTTTTTGGCCCTTTTTCTGAACTGATAAAGTGAGATTTTGGGGCTTGTAATCCATTTTTCTCCATTTTTTTTGACTGGAAAATAACACAAGTTTTTAAATTATATGTTATATATCTTATGCTTGTTTGGCATCCCAAGCACCCTCTTTGTGGGCACGCCGGGGACAGCGGCGACGGCTCCCGAGAACCCCATATATATATATATATATATATACACACACACACACATACATACATATACATATATACATATACATACATGTGTGTATATACACACACTCCGCTCGCAGAGCGGCCTGCCCCGCCCCCCGCCCGTTAATAACGACAACAATAGCGATGGTGACGATGATGATGATGATGATGATGATGGGGGGGGGGGTGCTGGGGGGTGGCGGGGCCGGCTCCAGCGCGCGGGGCTCCGCCGCGCCGCTTAAAGGGGCCGCACCGCCCGCGCACGCACCTGCAGGCGCGCCACGGCGCGGAGCGCTGCGGACGGGCAGCTCAGCACCAGCCGCTCCCGGAGCAGGTTGCTGCCGTAGGCGAAGTACAGGAGGTCGCCGGCCCCCGACGGAACCGGGATCTGGAACCGGGAATCACCAACGCCACCCGGCTCCATCCTCCCCGCACGGCGCGGCCCCTTTAACGCCGCTCCCTGCCCCCCTCGGGGGGCGGGGCCTCGGGCCCGGCGGCGCTCGCCATTGGCTGCTGCCAGGCGCCGCCGCGCCCTCGTTGGCCGCTGCCACGTGGGGGCGGGCGGAGGTAGTGGCGGATGCGGAGCGCTGTGACGCCACAATGGCGGCGACGCCGTGACGCAATAATGGCGGAGAGCCTGCGTGACCTCACAGGGAGTGGCGCCCCCCCATTGAAAAATCACCTTTAAAATAAAAAAAAAAAACACATTTTTTATTGTTTTAAACCCATCTGTGTGTATCTCCTGTGACAAATCCGCATGTCACATACCTTGTAGCACGGTGCGTGTGTTTCACCTCAGCGCCTGCCTTTACATGCCTGTGGACACAGCTCTGCCCACGCATCCCGGGTTCGGCACCCCACGGAGCGGGGAGCGCTTCCCACTAATGCGTTTTCCTTGTAAGCCCCCGGCCACGTCCCAGAGAAGTGTACGCAGCGAGGAATTTTAAAATTTAAATCCCGCTCGCTGCAGCGGGAGCCGGCACGGTCGGGCCGTGTGGCCGGTTCCCTATGGAGCATCCCGCTCGGAGCGCTGCCCTGGCGCTCCCGGCACCGTGAGCAGCGACAGACACAGCTTCCAAAATGGCACATTTGGGGAAAAAAAAAGAAAAAATAAAGCCCCGTGTAAAGTGGCCGCTGCGGTTCTGATTCCCTCTGGGCAGCAGTTTCCTATTTTTAGCTTGTCTCTTCCAAATGAATTAATGTTTTCGGGGCGGAAGGAGCTGCCGTGCTCGGCGCTCGGGAGCTGTTCATGGACGGGAATTCGACTTTTTTTCACTCAAAAAATCCACAATTTGAACATGGAGAAAACAATTGTCTCCTGACTTGCATTCCTGTCCATGCTGGTCAAATCTAGATCCCAGCGTGGCAGTCAGATGGCAGGAATTACGAGCATGAGGAGGTCTCCTATCTCGTGTGAAGGCCCACGTAGGAAGCTGCTAGCAAGATGCCAGATAAACTTTGGGGAAGGCGAATCCACTCAAAAGAGTGCCAATTTCTAAGCATTTAATCACTCCAAAAAATGTTCTCCAAGTCTGTTAGGGCTTCCCTTTTCTACTGCACGCAAACAGATTCCAGCCCTGTTTCACCATCCCAGCACAGCAGCTGCTGTTTCCAGGAAGAGAGAACCGGGACACAACACTCACTCAAACGCGATTGAAGCAAAACCTAGAATTATGGTGTTGGATTAATTTTTAATTGAACGAGCCCATCCGTTGGCAGTTCTGCATCCCCATCTCCTGCCATGCACAGCCCACGGCAGTTTAGCAAGAGCACATTTTGCCTCCCAGCTATTCCCAAGGACGGGAAACGCAAGAGGTGACCTGGAAAGGCTGCCGTTGCCTCACGGGCCAGCGGTTTCTCGCAGTGAGTATTTTTATCCCTACACACAATACATTCCTGAGCACTCTCAGATCTGCTGTGTGTTTTTAGGGCTCAGGCAAAAATAAAATCTTGTGGGGTAAGCAAAATCTGCCAAAAATGTGTGCCAGGGGTTCAAAACGCCCCCCACTTAGTGGTGTTGCAGCATGAGCTTTAATTAATACTGAAGGGAAAAAAAAGCTCTCCGAGGAATAATAAGGGCAGCCGATGGAAAGGAGCGGCTCATGCTGTCCCTCCAGTGCTTTTCCCTTCCTCCCTCCACGGAGCCTTCGTAGCGGCTCCTAAACACAGTTATTGTTTCAGTGCAACGACACAAATTCGCTGCGAGATGGTGCGGCCGATGGCAGCCCCTTAAGGCGCTGTGCGGAGTTTGGAGCGCTCCCATGTTCCCGCAAAACGCCAGGGGTTTCACAGAGTGCCTGGATGCTGCTGCCCCGCCAGCGCGGGAGCCCCAATCCGGCACATCCCTGGCCTCATCCGCAGCCTGTCCTGCCCTACGGAAAGGCTGTGTGCCCGGGATGGAGGCGGCATGGAGGAGAGTCTGCTGTTTGTGTCGCAATTCGGCCTCTATGTGTTTGTGCAAAGAGCTGGCGAGGAGGGAGGAGTGAGCTCGGAAAGCGGCCGTGCCTGAGCACATATGCACTCTCCACCTTGGAGCAGGGAGCAATGGAATGGGAGAGCCGGGGTGGGACTCCCCCTCGAGTCATATACTGGAAAAGGGAAGAAGTGCATCCACATCCTGCCTTTGCTTTGCCTGCCGAGAGCTCAGGTTTGTCCATAGCAAGAGCAAGGGGCTTCTCGCCACCTGCAGTCCTCTGCAGTCTTTACGGGCATTTTTTTCCTCTTTTTCCTTTTTTTCTTTTTTCCCCAATATATGCTAAAAATCAACACATATGGAATACAGACGTGTGAGAAGTAGGGAGGGTTTTTGCTCTGCCGCATGCAGATGCCCGTGCTGCAGTCCCAGCGGGGCTTGCGCACCTGGTTTGGAAATCCTGCCAAAAAGTACCCTAGTTTGCAGAGAACAAATGCTGGGCAGGTCACACCTGGGGCCTAATTTTGATCTCTTTTATAGAAGAAAAGTGGTGAGAAAAAAGTTGAGTTCCTGCTCCTCATCTGCACAAATAAATTCCAAATGTGTCTTCTTTCCATCGCTCCATGTTTCCGCTTGTCTCGCTTGTGAAGCTCTTGGGCGTGTTAACCACTCCTCTAGGACGCAGGGCCAGTGGCTCCCGGAGAGTTTGCCGAGATCCTTTCCTGCTCTCCCGAAAGCCCTGGCTTTGCTGTGGCGGGGCAGGTTTTGCTGCTGCGACGATTTGGGGGCAGAAACATCCGTTCCCTGTGGATTCCACAATTCCCTGCCCCTCGGGCCGACGCACTTGTGTCTCGGCGCAGATCCCACCGGTTGTCTCTTCACGCTGTCGGGCTCCTGACAAACCCTCCCCAGGAATGTGACGCCTGGCACGTGCAGAGGGGCAGATGAAAGGGCTGTGCCCTGCTGTCTTTAGGCTCCCCAGCCCCTGAGCGCGCGTTTTACAATTTGTGTCTGATTTTTTATGCTATTTACTGTCCATTATTTACAGTTTTGTATGCATTTGCTTCTTCTCATCCCCTTTTCAGGCTAGGAGCACACTGTTCTCTGCTTCCTTTTTACAATGCTGTGTACATTTGCTGCTTCTCATTCTTTTCCCCTTTGCAGGCAAGGAGCACCCTGTTTTCTGCTTCCTTTTGTTCTCTCGCAGCACAGGAAAGTTTCCAGGTCAAGCCAGCTCTGGATGGGATTTTCCAGCCCTGAAATACCTGCCTCAGGTTAAGCTCCGTTAAGCTCATGGCCTGCACAGATGTTTTTTGGTGGAATAAAGGTAGTGCTTTTTTTCAGCTCCTTTCAGCACAACATAAGTAAAGCCTGAGAAACCCCTGAGTGTCAGCAACTCTGATCCTACATGCTTCCAAGAGTTTTAGGGAAGGAGACAGCTGGAAAAAAATAGGTCTCAAACAGGAGGAGCAGCAGTTTGGGGACAGACCTTCTCACATAGGAAAGACCTTGTCCAGGATAGAGGCTGTGGCCTGACTATAGAAAAGCTTTTAAAAGGTATTTAGCAGCAGGGACAACATCTCAATTCTGATCTCTAATGCAGGGGGCCCTTAGACTGCAGCTGGTTTGCAATTTAGTTAAAAAAGGGCATTTAGCTACAAGATAGGAATCCGGAGGAAAACAGAGTGTCTCGGGGCTGTGCTTGGTGTGGACTTGTTTTTCTCTCCACCTTGCGGCCCAGGCCTGCTGTGGGCTGCGGGAAGGAGGACGTGGTAGACATGCTGCGAGGACAGAGTGTGTTCACATGGAGGGCTGGGTGAGGAAACGCTGCTCCTAGCACCACGAGGGGCTCCGAAAAGGAGCCGGGGCATTAATAACTCATAACCTAGTCTAGCTGATCAGGACTGTGTTACACAAAGTCGTCTCCTCCTCATAAAAAAAAAAAATCAGAGTTTGTGACTAGTGATGGGGGGATCTGGCCACCAGGTGCCAGTCGCACTCCACTGGGAATAAGCAGCTCCTAGGCCTGCAGGGATTGCAGGGAAAGCCAGTGCAGCTGGACATCATCTATTTTGTCCCTAGCTGGGTTTTCTACATGCTGCAGCTGGGAGCACCCAGGTCTCTGCACCCTCTAGTGAGCCATCTCCCCATGCCCAGCATTTCTGCACCACAAATCACCTGAATTTGCTAATCTGGGCACAGAATAAAGTGTTTCTAGATGTTCTAGTTTCAGATGGGTTTGAGATGCCTTTGAGGTACTTCTCATGTGGCCCTAAATCACATCTGTAAAGCCCTTTTCTCCTTTGGTTCTGCTTGCCCTTGCCCTCCCTTTTCTTTCCTCTCCTCTCACTTCTTCTTACCTCATCAAACTTGATTTTAAAAATATGCTGCAATACCTTACTCCAATTCAGTAACCAGAACTCTTTCCATTTGAGTTCTCTGAATACCAAACAAGCCCAGCACTGCCGGTGTCTGCTTTAGCCTTGTGTCTACTGATATTTCCTTTATGCTGTTCACTTCTTTTTCTTTCCCCTAGATCATGAATAAAGATGTTAAATACAAGGTCGTTTGGGACTGCTGAATTCCCAGCCTCTGGAGCTAGTGATATTTCAAGAGCAATTCTATTATGTGATTACGTTTCACTTACAGAGTTGTCTTGGGGAAGTCATTTATAGTAGAACAGCAGGCCTTAGCTTCCTGTAACCCTCCTAAATCAACCCCATCACATCTCAAAAGCCTTAATTTCCTATCATCCACTGTAATTGTTTAATTGTTTGCTTGAAGAGGCCTTCCTGCTGTACTTAGAGCAGTGAGGAAGATTAAACAGATTGTCATTTTAAAGCATGAGAAATGGAAAAAAAAAAATCCTTGCAAAACACTGACCTGAAAAGTGGTTTGAAAAACATCAGCCTCACATTGATGTTGTGCAGCTCACTGGGGTTCTCCAAGCAGGAGCACCTTGAACAAGGACTTGGCAGCCTTTCGTGGGGCGAGGAGGGGACATCAGGACC